GTGTGTGTGTGTGTGTGTGTGTGTGTGTGCGCGCGCGCGCGCATGGTGCGGTTGTTGGTGGTGGTGGAGACCCAGGGTGTCACACGTGCTGAGAGACCTCTCTCCCACTGTACTCCACAGGCCAACATCACTCTTTTATAATGACTAACTTCAGGGAACCTAATGGATGCATTCAATGCATTCAAGCCCTACCCCAACTGTACCTCATTTCGCAGAAAAAAAAACTAAATTCAGAAAAACCTTGAAAGAACAAATCTCCAAATTACTTAGTGTATGTGAGTAATATGGTTGAAGATTATTTTTATTTTCCTTTGCACATTTTTGAGTATTTTTTCCAAACTTTATAAAATTTCTATGACTGGTCTAATTTTTTAATTTCATTTTTGAGGCAGTGTTTCTCTGAGCAATTTTTAGAGCCTGTCCTGGAACTCGCTCTGTAGACGACACTGGCCTTGAACTCACAGAGATCCGGCTACCTCCCTGCCCAGCTGACGGGTCTAATTTTTAATTATTGTTTTAGCACAGTGCCTACTTTTTATTTTATTTTTTAAAATTTTTGTTTAAATTAGAAACAAGCTTGCTTCACATGTCAATCCCAGCTCCCTCTCCCTCTCCTCCTCCCCCACCTTCAATCAACCCCTCCAACCCTCCAACCAATTATCCCTCTGCTCCCCAGGGAGGGTGAGGCCCTCCATGGGGGTTTTCCAAAGTCTGTCAATTCATCCAGGGCAGGGCCTAGCCCCTCCCCCATGTGTACAGGCTGAGAGAGCATCATGCGCCAGGGATAAATACTGATCTACTACCTGAGGCCCCATAGATTGCCAAGGCCTCCTCACTGACACCCACGTTCAAGGGGTCTGGATCAGTCCCATGCTGGCCTCTCAGCCATCAGTCTGGGGTCTATGAGTTAGTTCCCACTTGTTCAGGTCAGGTGTCTCTGTGGGTTTCAACAGCCCGGTTTTGACTCCTTTGCTCATCACTCCTCACTCTCTGCAACCGGGTTCTAGGAGTTCAATTCAGGATTTAGCTGTGGGTGTCTGCCTCTGCTTCCATCAGTCACTGGATGAAGGCTCTAGGATGGCATACAAGGTAGTCGTCAATCTCATTATTGGGGAAGGGCATTTAAGGTAGCCTCTCCACTATTGCTTAGATCCCAGTTGCTGTTATCCTTGTAGATCTCTGGAAATCTCACTAGTGCCAGATCTCTCCTCAAACCTATAACGACTCCCTCTGTTATGGTATCTCTTAGCCTGCTCTCCTCTATTCTTCCCCCGATTAAACCTTCCTGCTCACCCATGTCCTCCTATCCCTTCCTCTTCTCCCCCTTACTTTCTCCCAGCTCCCTCACCCCTCTCCCCATGCTCCCAATCTGCTCCCAATCCTGTCCTATTCCCCTTCTCCAGAGTACCATGCATGTCTCTCTTAGGGTCCTCCTTGTTTCCCAGACTCTCTGGCTGTAGGATTGTAGGCTGGCAATCCCCTACTCGGTGTCTAAAATCCATATATGAGTCAGTAATACCATATTTGTCTTTTTGTGACTGGGTTACCTCACTCTTGATGGTTTCTTCTAGTGCCATCCATTTGCCTGCGAATTTCAAGATTCCATTGTTTTTTTCCTCTGAGTAGTACTCCATTGTATAACTGTACCACATTTTCTCTATCCACTCTCCAGTTGAGGGGCATCTAGGTTGCTTCCAGGTTCTGGCTATTACAAATAATGCTGCTATGAATATAGTCGAACAGATGTCCTTATTGTATGAATGTGCATCTTTTGGGTACATGCCTAAGAGTGGAATTGCTGGATCTTGTGGTAGACTGATTCCCATTTTTCTGAGGAATCTTCATACTGATTTCCAAAGTGGCTGACCAAGTTGGCACTCCCACCAGCAATGGAGGAGTGTTCCCCTTTCTCCACATCCTCTACAGCATAAACTGTCATTGGTGTTTTTGATTTTAGCCATTCTGACAGGAGTAAGATGGTATCTCAGGGTTGTTTTGATTTGCATTTTCCTGATGGCTAAGAATGTTGAGCACTTTATTAAGTGTCTATCAGCCATTTTAAACTCCTCTGTTGAGAATTCTCTATTTAGTTCTGTACCCCACTTTTTAATTGGTTAATGTGGTGCTGTGGAGTACTTTGTAAGTTCCGAAGATCAGCCCTCTGTCAGATGTGGGGTTGGTGAAGATCTTTTCCCATTCTGTAGGCTGCTGTTTTGTCTTGTTGAATGTGTCTTTTGCCTTACAGAAGCTTCTCAGTTTCAGGAGGTCCCATTTATTAATTGTCTATTTCAGTATCTGTGCTACTGGTGTTATGTTCAGGAAGAGGTCTCCAGCACTTCCCGCTTTCTCTTCTAAGAGGTTCAGTATGACTGGATTTATGTTGAGGTCTTTGATCCATTTGGACTTAAGTTTTGTGCATGGTGACAGATATGGCTCTATCTGCAGTCTTTTACATGCCAGCATTCAATTATACCAGCACCATTTGTTGAAGATGCTTCCTTTTTTCCATTATATAATTTCAGCTTCTTTGTCAAAGATTAGGTGTTCATAGGTGTGTGGGTTAACATCAGGGTCTTCAATTCTATTCCATTGGTCTACCTGTCTATTTTTGTGCCACTACCAAGCTGTTTTCATTACTATAGCTCTATAATAGAGCTTAAAGTCAGGGATGGTAATGCCTCCAGAAGTTCCTTTATTGTACAAGGTTGTTTTGGCTATCCAGGGTCTTTTGTTTTTCCATATAAAGTTGAGAATTGTCCTTTCAAGGTCTGTGAAGAATTGTGCCGGGATTTTGATAGGAATTGCTTTTGGTAATCTACAGATTCGATGTGTCCTCTGCCTTACAGAAGCTTCTCGGTTTCAGGAGATCACGTTTATTAATTGTCGATCTCAATGTCATGTTTTCTCCATATATAGTGATTGAGAATTTTGCTGGGTATAGTAGTCTGGGCTGGAATCTGTAGTGTTTGTAGAACATCTATCCAGGACCTTCTGCCTTTCAGAGTTTCCGTGGAGAAGTCAGGTGTGATTCTGATAGGTTTGCCTTTATATGTTACTTGGCCTTTTTCCTTCACTGTTCTTACTATTCTTTCTTTATTCTGTATGTTTGGTGTTTTGATTATTATGTGGTGAGGGGACTTTTTTTGGTGCAGTCTATTTGGTGTTCGTTAAGCTTCTTGTACTTTCATAGGCATGTCCTTCCTCAGGTTGGGAAAGTTTTCTTCAATGATTTTGTTGAATATGTTTTCTGTACCTTTGAGCTGGGCTTCTTCGCCTTCTTCTACACCTATCATTCTTAGGTTTGGCCTTTTCATGATGTCCCATATTTCCTGGATATTTTGTGTTAAGGATTTGTTGGACTTAAGATTTTCTTTGGTTTTGAGGCCTGGCTGGCCCTACAGCCTCCAAAACAATACAGAGAAACCCTGTCTCGTAAAACAAAAAAAAATATTTTCTTTGGTCAGTGAATCTATTTCCTTTAGTTTATCTTCAGTGCCTAAGATTCTCTCTTCCATCTCTTGTATTCTGTTGGTTATGGTTGGTAGTTCCTGATCATTTACTCAGCTTTTCTATTTCCAGCAATCCCTCAGTTTGTGTTTTCTTTATTGTCTCTATTTCAGTTTTCAGGTCTTGAGCTGTTTGAATTGTTTCCTTCATCTGTTTGATTGTTTTTTCTTGGCTTTCCTTGCTTTCTTTAAGAGATTTGTTGATTTCTTGTATTTTTTGTTTGTTTTTCCTTCCATTTCTTTAAAGGGATTTTCTCATTTTCTCTTTGAGGGTCTCTATCATTTTCATGAGTTTTTTAAAGGTCATTCTCTTCTGTTTCCTCTGCGTTGGGATGTTCAGGTCTTGCTGGTGTAGATTCCCTAGACTCTGGTGGTGTCAAATTGGTTTTTCTGTTGTTGAATGTGTTCTTATATTGTCATCTTCCCATCCCTTCTTCCAGTGGGTGCAGGTGGGGTCTCTTCCTCTCCTGGTGGGTAGGGGTCTATGGTTCTCTTCCAATGGGTTCAAGCAGGTCCAATACTCTGATGGGTCTCACAATGGGCACAGATGGGTCTGAGACACTATAGGCGAGCAGCTGGACCAGGAATATCCAAGGAGGGGGATGTGGGCTCTAAGCAGAGCTCACACTCACCTCAAACAGAGGTCAGAGGGCAGAGGGCAGAGGGTAGAGGGCAGATGGGGGCCAAGACTGAGGTGTGGCTAGACTCAGGGTGGTCCTTTCTGCTGGGGCGGGTCTGCTCTAGGTACAGAGCAGACCCAGGAAGATCCAAGGAGGAGGATGTAGGGAGTCGGGGCCCCAAGCAGAGCCCACATTCACCTCAAGCAGAGGGTGGAGGGAGGAGGGGGGCAAGACTGAGGTGTGGTATAGTGTCTTCTGAGGATCTTGCTGCATCATAGAGATTCCTCCTTGGATAGTTTGACCTTTGAACCCAGTAGTAGATGGGATATAATCCACTATTTATATAGCTTGTGAAATAGGCTATCATTCATACTTTCAGTTCTAGAAAGCGTGTACACTTTCTTTAAAGGGCCAGATACTCAGCATCTGAGGCTGTGCAAGCCACACACACACACTCTCTCTCTCTCTCTCTCTCTCTCTCTCTCTCTCTCTCTCTCTCTCTCTCTCTCTCTCTCTTTCTCTGTCAACCACTGATCCTTGCTTCTGCAACCAACTAAGTGAACGGATTTATAAATAAGTGAACATGACTTTGTTCCAATGATACTTCATTTGGGGGTGCTGAAATTCAAATTATAAAACTATCTTACCCCACACTAATGGAATGGGGCATTTGTAGAAAGAGCCTTAGTCACAGAGTAGAAAGAGTTCACTGTCTTAGTCACAAGGTGTTTCATCTCGTCAAATGTTGCAGTCATCAAATAAGTACTTTCAGGATTAGTGAGTAGATGATGAATGAATGAGCTAATGGTAGATGCTCCTAGGAGCTGGCTTTTGGAAGTTAGTAGATTGTTATATGATCTAGTTGCAACACATCAAAAGAATCCTTTGGTTTATTCACTGATGTTCTGCCTTCAATCACTGCTTAGTGTTGTCCCATGTAATCAGAAGCCTTCTACAAAGCCAGCTGCCTGCCTTTGCCCAAAAGCCTAGGTGGTGGATTTCTACTTGCTACCCCATGTGAGGATAGGTACACTGTTTCTCACAACTTAACCAGTTCAAATGAAGCTTCACGGGTTACCTAGAGCCAGAAACCATGAGACACACTAAGTAAGATAAAGAAGATGGAAGGGATACCACAAATGGCCATTCTGTCTTTCCTGTTTCTAGCTGCCATGTTGAATATTTTACATATGATTATTAAGTCTTTACTGGCAAGAAGGAGAAAGACCACACAGTTCATCATAAGCTGTCTAGAAATGACAGGAATTACATAAAATAAGGTAAAGAGAAAAAAAATCATTAATCAAAGCTAAAACCTGGTAGGTTGTGGTTGACAGTGGCAGAGTGTCTGAATACATTTGTTATCTTTTTCTAACCTAAAGAGCAATTTAAAAAGAAGGACTCCAAGTGGACAAAATGTGGCAATGCATTTTTTTGATAGAGAGGTATGTCTTAAACCTGAAGTGATCTCTCTAGGCTCATATGTTTGAATACTGTCACCAGATGATGACACCAGTCAGGAAGGCTGGAAAAATCCAGTCCCAAAGGGACTGTAGCCTAACAAGTGAGGTTCCGTCACTGGGATGGGCCTTTAAAAGTCAAAGCTCATTCCTGCTTCTGGTCTAGTCTTGATTTTCTGGTTGGCTACCTGGGTCTAACCAACTATGTCACACTCTTGGTGATACAAACTAAGCTTCTTGCTTCTATCCCCTCCCGTCATGATGGATTGAAATTCCCCCAAATCACAAGTCAAACCATAGCCTTCCTCAGCTGACATCCACCTGTCGGCGTGTTTCTTGACTTCCTTTTGTTTCGTTTGTTGTTGGTTTGTTGTTTGAGTAAACAACTCACTCAGGAGGGATGGCAAATGCAGCGGGGACACTGAGAAGAGAGAACACTCTTCCTCTTAAAGCTCGAATGATGACCTTGATAAAATGTGCCGAATGTCACTTGTCACTTCTTGCACATCTCAGTACTCGCCAAGCACCACCTCATTCTATCGTCACTAAGCGGGGAGGGTTACAGGCCCACTGTACAGATGAAACTGCGGTATGTGGGTGACATGGAATGCTTTGAAATGGCTCATCCAGAGAACGTGAGGGAGCTCCTGCGAATTGAAAATGTGATAACTCAGACAAGCATTCAGCAACACCTGATGCATCCACAGTAAAAGCTTAACCAATGGAACTATTGTTTTGGACCACTGACTGTTGAGTTACACATTTGTTTTCTCTTATCATGTGGTAAATTATGTCCAAGTCAGATTGTTCTTATAATCAGAGTTGTAAAAGAAAGGTTCATTTTTTATCATTTTTAATTATGTGGAGGTATGTGCTCTATGTGTGGGTATGTATATACACGTGAATACAGGTGTTCTTGGAGGTCAGAGGCACTGGCTCCTCTGGAGCTGAAGGAAGCCATCCCACATATGTTCTGGGAACCAAAGTCAGGTCCTCTGGAAGAGCAATCAACAAGTACTCTTAACCACTGAGCCATTCCTAGCCTCTAACACAAGATTTTGTTGAAATTGGGGAAACTTAGAATCTTGGTTAGACTGTGAAATCCAGTCTAGTTCTTAGCATTGAGAGCCATGGACACTGAAATGAAGTAGTACCAATCAATTTTCCTAAGGCCAGGCAACTACTTACTAGAAAGAACACTGGTCCTCGGGCTCCTAATGTTCTGCCACTCTGTCTGTTCTTGCTTCAGCCCTGCAGTAGAAACATACAGTTAGCCTTTCTGGCCTTTCTTAGAGAATAGTGATGCCTCCCTGAATATATGTCCTCCCAAAGAAGATGCCAAGCACAGGGGCCGTCTCTTTGGGAATAAAAGATCAGTGAGCCACACCTACCATGGGGATGGAACATGGGCATTTACAGTGAGAACATCCCTTTTGCTAGAGTTGATCATTAGCAAGGCTCTTTGGCTATCTTACTATACAAAGGCTGACACCAAGCAGACCCAAGTGATGGAAAGAAAGATATAGGAACTTATCACACACACAGCCAGATCCCTGCTGTGCACATACTGTGAAAGCCATCAGCCCAGACTGAGACAGGAAGCCTGATGTTTCTAGAAAGGAGGGATCCAGAGAGAAACACAGAGTTGGTTACTTGTTATCACTTATTTGTGTGTGAGCACTTGGAAAACAATATTCTGGGCACTTGCTAGAGCAACTGTTGTATTTGAAAAAAACAAACAACTAAATGTTGGTACAGAGAAAACCCAGCCAGGGAACAAAATGAGACAATTCTCCCCCCCCCAGGAAGAACAAACAGTATCTAAGGAGGGAAGCATTACATTACATTACACTCCTTGGCTCAGCGGTGAGTGATATTGACATTAGTCAGAAGAAGGCTAACAATGTTGTGTCATGTTATCTCGGCAGGATGGGTGAAGATAAAAGCACAGGAGGAGAAGGTATCAGGGACAAAGGCTCATCTTTTGTAACAGGAAGCTGAGAGATAATGTCTAAAATGATAAAGAGTAGAAAGGGCACATTGCTTAGATATAGGAAAGGAAACTGGGTGTGGTGGTGCGTGCCTGTAGTCCCTGATACTTGGGGAGCTGAGGCAGGAGGATCAGTTAAGTTCAGGAGTTCTGGGCCATATGCCGATCAGGTGGTATAATAAGGTGATCTCCTGGAAGCAGGGAGTCACCAGGTCACCTAAAAGGATGAGTGAACCTGCCAGGTCAGAAACTGATTAGAAATATGAGTAGAAATACCATAAGAATTTAGTTAAAAGGTTTGAAATTATAGAGACAAAATTTCAAGAGTTACTGTCTTATAAATTTTTAAAACAAAATGTTTCAAGAGTCATGAATATTATTGTTTTATATCAAATGATTACATGTCATGTATAAATACACAGCACTCTATACCTTTAAAATTTTAAAGTACATTTAAGTATGCATATGGGATAATCGTCTCAGAAAAGCCATTAATGTGACTTATATCCATAGCCTCAACAGTAAAATCAAATAATTTTCTGGGGTTTTGTTTTGTTTTCTTTGAGAAAGGGTTTCTCTGTGTAGCTTTGGAGTGTGTCCTAGGACTCACTCTGTAGAACAGGCTGACTTCAAACTCATAGAGATCCACCTGCCTCTGCCTCCCGAGTGCTGGGATTAAAGGTTCATCCAGCACTGCCCAGATAATTATCTTAATTTTTAAAACAAGCCAGTTGATAAATACAAGAGCCAAAATGCACATGTGTTCCTCAGGGATAAATGTCTTCAAATACAATGAAACGTCATGACTCAGAGGGAAGACAGGGAGGGAGGGAGGGAGGAGTTCTTAAAAGCAATTTTCAAAGCAAAGTGGCCCAGTCATTCTGACACATGTTTTCATCCCAGTAGTAGGCATGGAATTTACAGCTGATGGATAGGCATTCTGCAAGCTGCGATGAGCCAGGTTCCAGCTCACATCCTGGACATCATGTTCCAGTGCAAGTGAGGGACCTCAGAACATCAAAGCTTAAGCATATTAAAACCAGCAGCTATGAGCATGAGACCATGAGTCCACCGGGGTAAAATCCAAGTTCCCATTCTTAGGGAACCTTGTATTCTCGGGTCTTCTTTCTTGCTGTCTCTAACCTTTGCTCTGTGGGTCCAGCACCCCAAACTCCTGCTGATAATGGGGAGACATTTGCCAATGTCATTTCATCCCTGAAGGCCAAGTATAGACTCCTCAGTTACATAAATCCTAGAGCAGCTTACTGCTGTCCTTTCTTCCCAGGCTACACTCCAGAACAGGGATGGGTTAAGATTCAGGGCTCCCCAAGCCTAGACCACTATCTCTATGAACACTTCTGTCCAGGAGATGTGACAAAAGCAGCATTGTGGAGTGTTGCTTACACTATAGCATGCAGTCAGGACCCCAGAGTCACAAGTGACAAAATTCCACTTGGAACCATAGTTTAAAAGGTGAATTCATTGATTCAATTAACTGGGAAGTCCAAGGGGTAGCCTGGTTCCAAACAAACATGTTGCTGTATCTTCTCTCTCAAGTCTCGGTTTCTTTTTGTCAGTATCTGTTTGACTACCTGCTCCCCCTCAGTCATGTGATTCTTATCACACACAATCTCAGAATAGAAGGTACTTTCTTTCAGCATATTAAACTGCACACATACGTATGTGTGCATTTGTATGTGGTCTCACACACACACACACACACACACACACACACCATTCAGGGCCAATCACTGCATATATTATTGTATGAAGTCAGTCTAACCCTAGGGCCAGAATGCCATCAGCCTTGTGTTTAACTGTCCCAGATAAGAGATCAAGAGTTCTAAAAGTAGACAGGACAGTCTGTCACCAAAAGAAAGGGAGAGGAGGTATGGGCAGATGAGACTACAGAAATCCATGATACAGCGTAAGCAGAGCACATGGTTAGAATGTGATTCTTGTGATAACCACCACTTGCAGGAAGTCAATGCAGTTCACTGCCAGCCTCCTACCTGAACCTGTTCAGATCATCTCTGCCCTGTCCTTCCCACCCTATCACACCTGCTAATTCTCTCTTCCTTCTCATTCTCATAAAGTCCTATGCCTGCCCTCTACAGAGCTCTGTGTGTTGCTCTTTTGCTTCAGTGGAAGGATAAAGCTTAAGGGGGTTCTGTGTGGGGGACCATGGCAGATTCCATGGTTGGTGAGGGTGACTGAGATGGGGACAAACACACCAGGTGGACAGAGCTTGAGTGAGAAGTTTTACTGGAAAGAGGAGGAGGGGGAAGGAAAGAGAAAAGGAGTAAAGAGACACAGAGGGAGGAGAGAAGAGAAGAGGGAGACAGAGGGGAGAGAGTGGGAAGAGCAGAAAGAGAGAACAGTAAGGGAGCATAAGTGGGCAGGGTCTGTCTTTTAAAGGGGTCCTTTGCACCTGAGTGCTGACTAGCACTCACCGAACCCTGAACTGACCAGAATACTGCTTGAGTGCATTCTGTCAGGTGACAGGGGCAGGCCAGCATAATACCTTACATACTCAACTTATTATTAAAAAGGTGAAGAATTAGGCATGGCAGGTTAGGGAATAAGGACATCAAGTTCTCAAGACTGCTTCCTGCTGACCTGAGGGGGTGTTGACCATTTTGGGGGACCTGAGAACGCTGGGGTGCTGCCACTTCCTGGGGTAGTTGGTTGTTTCATCACAGTCCAGGCTTTATGAAACTCTCTGGAGCCTCTTAGACCTGGCAAGATGTTGGCCTAAAGTTAAGTTTAGGGGAACAATTGTCTTAGGTCCTGGTACTTGAGGGGAAGAGGATCATAAGATGAGGGAGGGGTCCACAAGGGATCCCAAGATGAGGGAGGAGTTTCCAGAACCAGGGAAAGGCTGAACAATATCTAGAGTGAATCTGACCTGTTTGGGTGGGTCCAATTCGACTCCCTGGAACTTGCAAGAATTCTTTAAGTTTGTGAAAACATAAATTTTAGACATATTAGCAGCATATTCATGTCAGAAACAATTTGGTTGAAAGCATTAACACTTTTAAAACTGACAGATATCTTTAGCACAATGAAAGGCACCTTAATTTTGAGCTTGCAGTTATGATCATATAGTGGTATAGCATGGTGTTTAGTATTCTGCATTGGTTAATGTTAAGACTTTGAACAGTAGCATAATGAGAGAGAGTGAAATCTGGAGCCTGTTTCATTCTTTTGAATATCTCAACTCGCTTTGTTATCACGTAAACCTTTTATCCTCAGACCTTCCTAACTTTAATTCATACACCTTACATTACCATCTTAGACCGTCCAGGACCCTTATAGCTTACATTCTCAGACCTTCCGAACCTGCATTTATCCACCTTGTCAGACCTTTCCATCCTCAGACAGACCTTTGTAGCTTACATATTTAAACCTACATACACCTTATACTTTCCTACCTTCACATAGATAAACCCTAAAATACCTGTTCCTGAAATCGGTTTTGTGACAGTTAGAGCCTTGGCCGTTGCTTTAAGCTGGCAAAGCTACCAGTCATCAAAAGCATCAGAGTTCTTGAGAAGGATACAGCTTTACCTGAGTTAATGAAGTCAGAGACTTTAAGGACACCTGCCCTCTGCTGATAACGTGGGACCTGTGGATTAGGTTCTTTAGGAAGACTTGCCTACCATTGGCCCAAGCAACGTGGAGAAAGTTGATTCCACAGTCCTCTTGTCCACAGTCCAAAGAGTCCTTTGTAGCAGCTGAGGTGATAGGCAGGGTTGTTCAGTGGCTAGTGTTGCCACTTTTATGGGGGGAAGTTTCTTCAGTGTCCATCAGTCTTCTTGGAGAAAATGTGGTGAGGCCAGCAGCTGGCCTGTCTCTGTTATGGAAAAGTTTTTAATCAAACATTTGAAATGCCATATTCTCTAGATCTCTGAGCATTTGAGGTCTGTCGGTCTGTTTAGTATATCTCAGAAGACAAAATTTGTCTTTAGTTACTTGCCTTCAGCACATAGGTGGCTAGGTAAGGCTTTATCACTGTAATTAATTTGTATGGCTACAGATTAGTATGGCTACAATGACATTAGGGTAGGATCTGTCTAGAGAACTGAATTGAAGCTGAGCAGCTGTGGAGGGATATTTTACTCAGAGCTCTCTTTTAACTTAGTAGGTTAGAATTACACCTCTAAAGGACAAAGAAGTAGAGAAAAATCCCCTTTTGTAATAGAAGCTTACCATTGGTAAACAGCTTACAGGAAGGACTGGGTGGCATAAATATTTTGTTAATTTGAAATAGACCTTTATAACCTTAAATGTTTGCCATCATTTAAAGATATATAACAATTTAGAAATATTTGAGACTTAGCACAGTTGAATTTAAGTTGCATATAGAGTTAGCTTACATTTTTAAACAGTAGCTACACGTATGCATACACATAGATATATTAAACAGGACTGGATAAAAGTAAGAACCAGAGTGTGATCTCTGATTGTTGCTCTGTTGTAGCAAACAGACAGGACATTTAAAGATACAGAGTAGACTTAAAATTGCCAGTGACAAGAAGGCAGATCCACTGTAGATGAAACATGCAAGGCCTCTGTATGAAATGTGTTCCCTCCAGGGCCCTGGAAAGGCACACCATTCCACATGTGCAGCAGAGCCGGTGAAAGAAGAAAATAGAGACAAAAGAATAAAAGGCAAAAGGTAAATGAATTATGTCTGTCAGCAGGGTTTGTCAGCAGAAGCTGGCTAGACTGTCCCTCTGCCTAGGCTGAGAGAAAGGAGTAACCCACAGATTGGGCACATGGTCAAGATGGCGGCTTCCATAAACACATACCCATCCGACAGAAGTTAAAAAAAACTCTCGGAGCGCCTTGAGCAGATGCTGCCTCAGGCCGTGCCACTGGGAGCCGCTGGCATCTGTACTGAGAAGAAACGGTAGGCAGGCAGCAGAGATAGGAGAAACAGGAGAGAGAGAGAGAGAGAGAGAGAGAGAGAGAGAGAGAGAGAGAGAGAGAGAGAGAGAGAGAGAGAGAGAGAGAGAGAGAGAGAGAGAGAGAGAGATTTCAAACAGGAGCATAAGAGTTCTAGCGAAACAGGACATCCCCAAGTGGAAGGAAGTTCCCACCCTGAGACAAGCTTAGCCATGATGGGAAGTGGCAGGACGCCACTGTGGCAGGCAGGAGAGTTTTAGCATGCCGGGAAAAGGAGGGAAACAGACAAGAGAAAATGAGTAGAGGTCACACTTCCAACTATGGCTCACTGGTAGAATGTAGGGTGCTAATAAGTGGGTACATGGTTTGATGTGGGGACCCAGCTTCCATGAGAGCAGTGGAGAAGATCCAGAGCCTATAATCTCCAGTGTCCCAGAGACTAAGGGAGGATCAGATGCAAAAGGCACCGACTGATTTTGTGATTCGTTGAGCACAAATCAGGGGCCAGGGCTCCTGGAGCCCAAGAAACACATGGTCACTCAGTACTGGGATTTTTGACCAGTCCAAAACACGAGAGACCAAAGTGAGTCCTAACTCATGGAAGCATGGACAGAGGTAGAGAGGAAGGGAGGGCTTATCAGACATGGCGGTGGTGGATGGAAGAATCCAGACATCCTTAGTTGGAAAAATAACCAAGTGCTGCTTTCTGTGTTTCTATGGCTTCCATGTGGTTTCGTATGCTGGGCTCGTGGTCCTCAGGGTGGCAGTACTGAGGTAGTGGAATCCCAGTGAAAGGCACCAGCACGTGGTGATTAGGCCACTTGGCCATTGCCCTCAGAAAGATGGATGTACATTGTGCTAGTCCACGGTTACCATGAAGATATATGTCACAGAGCTTCCTGTCGCACCAGGTGATTGCTCTCACATATGCTCCTGACCCTGCAATGTCATCCGTCATGAGGCTTTTACCTGACGCTTGATAGATGAGGCCACCTTGCCTTGGACATTTGGAGTCCAAAACTATGAGATAAATAAATCTCTTTTCTTTATAAATTGCTCAGCCACAATGGAAAATGAACTAATATACTCTCTCATTATAAGCGCAGCTAATTTTTCCTTCTTAAATCTGGGCAGACTGAGGTTATGGTAAAAATACACCTGTTATTGAGGAAGTGATACAGTGGGACTTCCGGGATTGTTACCAACGACGATGCAGCTTTCACCATGTGCTCTGAGGCACTGGAAGAAGACCTATCGGTTAGCAGCTCTGCATGCAGGAGACAGTCCCTCCCAAGTTCATATGCTGATGCTGAATTCCCACAGCCATAGTCTGAAGACACGAGACCTTTGGGAGCTGACTAGTCGTGGAGTACAGAGTCTTCACTAATGGGGTTAGTTTCCTTATCAAAGGCTTCTGTTTTCCTTACTCTGCTGAAGGCACAAGAACAAATTACCATCTTTGGAACACAGTGAGCCTTTACCAGAGACAGATATTCTGGTGCCTTGGTCTTGGATTTCCTGAGTATTCAAGACTATGAGCAATAAGTTTCTTTTGCTTGTGATTCCCAGCCTAGGGACCAGAGAGATCAGATGACTGAGTGGCTGTGCGTGCTTATCTGAGTTCCATTCTTAACACTCATGCAGGTGGCTCAAAACCACCTGTAATTCCAGTCCCAAGGAATCTGACACCTTCTGGCCTCTTCAGGCATGCACAGATATCACCTACACACACACACACACACACACACACACACACACACTTACCTAGCCTAAGGTGTTAGGATAGGACAGACAGGTAAGACATACTTTGAGGTAACATCAAACTCCAACTACCTCCAAATGTAGCCTTCCCACCAGAAACTTCAGACTTCTCATGTGGGACACTAAATTACTCTGGCTCTGCCTGCTCCAAATTCCTAGCCCCCAACATCCGTGTTGTTCATATTGAATTGATAACAAAGAAATAACTGTAAACACTGTGTGAACACACCCTCTAAGAGGCACCATACAACAGTCCAAGGCTCTATTACATCTAGAAGCATTGATGTAGAACTGGGCATGCACAGTCCATGGGGGCACAAGGGACCGGAGTGTGGGGGCTTTGGAATTAGTCCCATTTACACATGGACTGGAGACCACACCAGCTGAAAGTAAGTCAAACAAAGGCAGACCTTCACTTTAGGGAGCAAGGTATGGACTAGTGGAGTAAATAAGACACTAATGCAGTCTGGCTGGGATAGTGTAGCTGCCTTCAACAGAGACAGCTAGGATATTTATGAACATAGACATCACCCAAGGCCTTGAGTTTAAGACCCTTCAGGTCATGAGTTCTGCATGAGACCTACCAGGGCCAAAGTGATGAGCTTGGCCCTCACATCAACCACTGGAATTTTTGGAGCCCAAGACAAGAAATTTAATTTATGTTCTCCAAATTGACTTGCAATGCACACCAATCCAAGCAAGGACTGAACAGGAAGGTCTTAGTGAATCAGTGTCCGATGACAAATGTGCTCTCTCCCCCTCCACCTCTCTTCCTTTCTCTCTCTCTGACCCCTCTCTCTTCCTCACCCCCTCACATACACACTTATATACCACTTTAACAGGAAGACGCTATGTCCCCCACCTATGTCATAACAGTGGTACTATTTTCTTTATATTTGGCTCCTTTGTCATTAGTGGAGTTGATTAAAGTTACAGTCTCCTTTGTACAGTAATCTCAAAAATATTGTACATAAAATGATCTTGATATTTTAACTACTATCACATGATGTTGAATCAAGGCTCAAGGAAATCCAGGCTTTTGACTCTCCAGGGAGAAAGGGTTGCACAGCCCATGCTCACACATTCCCATCTCCCATCCAAGTCCATGCCACTGATTGACACCCTTACCTTTCCACATCTTTACTCATCTCTGCAGAAGAATGGAAGATACGATAAGTTAAGACCCTCCTTTCCAGGTCTTTTAAAGGGACAGCATCTCTAACCTGTCACACACCTGTGATCGTGTCTCCATGGAGACCGAGGGGGTAAGGACCAGTCTCCCTCCACCACATAGGCATTCTCAAACCTGGATGAAGAGAGTTTTGCTGCAAAGTGTCCCATGATTTTCGCTCTCACAGGGGCAGCATGAACAGGCACTTGCTGCAGGTTTGTCCCCCACCAGCCTAGGTTCCACTCTGTAGATCAAACTTTGTGCACTCTCTGCATGTGGGACACCATTGCCCTGGTCTGGATTGTCTGTGCTTGCAAGGAGAGGAGCTTGGGCCGACAACCCTAGTCCCAGAGGGTGGGGAGAGCCCTGATTACCCCAAATAGAAAACATAAAGCAAGGATGAAGGAACACAGGCTAGCTCATCATGGGGTAGATGTTGGTGGGCCAGTACAGAGGGGAATGTCACCCTGTAAAGACAACAGGAAACCAGAGAGGAACTGCCTAACCACACGGCACACTTGGCTCCAACTGGTTTGCTTTGAGACAGAGACTTACAGAATATTTCAACAGTGGCTAGAAGAGAAGAATGAATCAAAGTGTGGAATAAACACTAGGTTGTCCTTTTGCCTAACTTCCTTATAACTGAGCGTGCCATTTTGTTTTGCTTTTTCTTTTCTTTTTTTCTCCAGCAGCTATTGGCGACCATGGAACTTCAGCTCAGGGCTTGGGGCTACTCTGAAGCTTTTGTGGAACGGCAATGCTTGCCATTCTCTCCTCAACGCACCTCCTGCAGTGCCTTCTACAGCCCACCAAGCCTTCACAGAGAGGAAGCCCAGGCCTCAGCAGCAGAGGAAGCACGTTCAGACGCTCAGAGTACCCTTCCTGTTTGAGATTCTTCCTCGCACAGCCTGTAGGACTCTTGCTACCAGGCTCAGCTTGAAAACAGCAGCAGCGCTTTGGGGATTTGGGAGGGGGAATCCACTTGCATGTGGTTTATGGGGGGCAAA